CTTATCTTCGTTACAGACCACTACTGCGCATTTTCCTACGTTCGCCGATAGTCTCCATTTTCGGGTGTATCCTACCGCCGCATCTATTTGTTCTTGCAACCCTTCTGGTGTTTCGGATACCCCCACGAAATCATCTGCAAACATCAGTCCGGACACACTCTTTCCCTCTACTTGGACTCCCTGTCTTACTGCTTCAACCGCCCTTATCAAATCGTTGATGTAAATCTTAAAAAGAGTGGGTGACATCGTACAGCCCTGTGCGACTCCTTGGAGTATATCCACGTACTTCGAAATTTCCCCATCCAACATCACCGCACTTCTTGTGCATTCTGTCATCTTTTTCAACATCCTCCACATTTTCCCCCGGATGCCGATGTCCCACATCTTTTTCCACAATCCATTGCGCCATACGGTGTCGTAGGCTTTTTGTATATCGAGGAAGAAACAGTATGTCGTACGCCCGGCGTCTTTCCTACCTTGGATGATTTTACTCAACGTATATACATGGTCTACACAACTACGATCTGGTCTAAATCCAGCTTGTCCTTCGCTGATCTTTTGTTTCCCCTCCAACATGTCTCCCATTCTATTGTCTATCATCTTGCCAAACAGTTTCCCCACTGTGCTCAACAGGGTTATCCCTCTATAATTCCCCGGGTCATCTTTATCCCCCTTTTTGAACAGGTTCACGACTACTCCTTCTCTCCATCTCTTCGGCGCGTACTCGTGTTTCCATATCCAGTTGAATATCCCGACCAACATGTTAATCATCCCCTCCCCCCCCTGTTTCAAAAGCTCGTTCACAATTCCATCAGCCCCTGCCGCTTTTCTATTCTTGAGTTTCGCTACGCAGTCCTCTACCTCTTCTCGTGTGAACTCTCCCTGCAACCCGTCTACATCACTACGTTCCCTCTGAGATCTTTCAACGTTTTCCTCTGCCCACGAGTTGATTTCCTTCTCAAACTCCGAGTCGAAGTTGTCGTTGGTGGTGGGGGGGGCTCATGTGTTGCATGCCTTAGATGTTAAGACCATTGACCACGCGGACGAAGCCTAGAGGGGCGGCACTCAAATGTCAACGCATGCCGTAGTTGGTAGACCAAGACCTCGCATGCGGGGGCCGAGCGATATGCTGGGTGACCCCTATTCCCTGCGGCATTCTCTCAACCTTTACGCTATTCTGTAGTCGCAAGCACACAGATTTGTGACACCCTGGTACGGTTGGCCACGATCACTAGGGGGTAGTGAGGAAAGGAGAAATGCATGTATGTACCGCCATTTCGGTGCGTGGAAAGAATGCAAGTACTGATATTCCGAGACTCTCACACTATGTATCAGCACATCCTATAATACTACATACCTCTGGTGCCGGGTTGGTTTCTATGTCGGAATCCCAGAAGACAATCGGTGCACCAATGGGATCAACGCGTGATCGCAACTGCAGACGAGCGCTTTTGACAGCTGGTTCTTGTTCTCATACTTTAATCCAAAATAGAGAACAAAACAACCTTCCCGCCGGAGGAACCTGGTGATGAGGACTGAAATCAGTAGAGGATACCATGAAGAGGTGTCGTGCGTGCTGGTACATTCAGGTTTGCTACTGGAGCTGGAATATGGAAGGTCGCAGCAGCCTCTGAAAACAGTCCGAAATCTGCGGCGGAACCAAGCGGACTCCAACAATTGTCACAGCCGTGCTCACCGCCACGACCGTCAATCCCTGAACGGAGGGTTGTCAGCAGTAGTTAGTGGCATCAGCTACTGCTGTAAACCCGCAGTTCAGGAGATTGGGTCTGGGTGCCGGTCTAATTTGCGCAAACTTGCGGAGATTATACGTCACTACTACGACCCCGATGTCACCACCAAAGAAGCAGATTCGAGCGCGCCAACTCCCCCCCCCCGCTGCTATAGGGTGTCTTCTAGTGGTCTTAGTACTATGCACCAGGTTACTGGCAACACCGACCTTATTTTAGCGCCTACCGTTTTGGCTCTTTTGACTTGAATTCAGAATAGGGTGAATTATTATTATCTTGATTTCAGAGGCGGCTTATGGAAGTAGACGCGTGAAATGTACGTTTTGAGCAGCCTCTTCCGCCGCCCTGTGCGAGAATCAACAAGTTCTGTTTTTCGCGATGCCTTTCGACTGGTCTTGTGTGTCTGTTGTGCATTTTCTGGTGCTCTTCCGTTTGTCTTCAAGATTAGTCAAAGTCAAAACTCTTTGTCTGCCATCCCTCAAAGGCGAAGTACTCAAGGGCTGCTGCTGCAGTATCGCCCGTGTGTTGTCGTCTTTTGGGTGACTACTGTGCACGTACTCACAACCTCCTAACGCACCGGATCTCTCGCCCCCAAACGCTAGCAAAAATATGCTGTAGTCGGTTTCATACGTTCGGAAAGTATACAAGGAGCATAGTACCGTACTGTAGGTTGCATAAGATACCACACCCCCCTTGAATGACTTTCAAGGCTTCCTTACTCCACGACTAAGAGGACGCTGAAATCAAGGGATACGTTGTCGGAAAGCTATCGATGAGACGGTTCCAACGCCGCCATTTTTGGCACCGTCACTGCTTTTCGTGCCGAGTAATACAGTTTTGAAGGTCGGGTCAGGGGGTGTGATATCTTACGCAATCTACGAGGTGTGCGTACTGTTGTTGAGCTTGACACACACCTACACGGTGGTGCGATAATATTTTTTTGAAAACTTCTAGCCGGGTATCGAGCACGGATAAGCTTTAGTTGCCCAAGAGTCGTAGCTACACGTCTATGAGTAGTTACGGAGAAAAGCCTCACCCACACACACACACCCGTGCTACGGGTTGTTGGAGGTTGAACAAAAGATCAGATTGGCTCATGATACGACGGGACTGCCTGTTGGCGGAGTTTTTTCGAGTTTCGTCACGAACCAGCGAACCAGCACACACAGAAACGTCCAACAGCGACGCAGCCGCTTCACGACACGAAGGAAGACTTCCTCGACTAGCGTACTCGCGGGCTCCACGTGGCCTGGGAGCTAAGGTGTGTACTGTGTACATGTACCTACCTGTGCAAGGTCGGGCAGCACATCTCTCTTCGCCGCAAGAACATGTTTCTTTCTCTCAAGCACATGTTCGCTCCTGCTGCCTAGCGCAGCATTCACGACACGAGGAGGGGCCTGGAACGCTGTCGCCGAGGACAGGAGGGAGCACACTAAGCAGGCTAGGCGCTTTGGCATGATGCCGCTCTCGGGATGACAACCGAGGTTGACTCAGCACAGCAGGCAGGACGAAGCACTGCAACCTGCCCTGGGGACTCCCAGATTTCGATGGGGGTGTGTGTTATTTCTTCTGTGTGGCCCCCGTTGGGCCCTTTTCCGGAGGAGGGTGGATCTTGAACCCTGGGGCGGATCTTCACACTATACTTTGTCCTCTCGTCTCTCGTTGCATTTGTTTCGCATTTTTCTTTGCCTGTTGTTGCACACACCACCTGCCACCACAGGCTGGTTTGTGAGGTGGTCCCCCTGCGTTGTCACCTTAGAGCAATCCTCTTTCGTGTCGTAAGGTTCAAGATCGACACCATCGAGAACAAAAAAAGCACACGTAGGGACACACACAACAAGGATGTGTGCACGTTTGATTGGGATGAGAGACTACTGCTGCTGTAGCCTACGTAAATCTATGAGTTTCGTACGTACCAACGCGCACACAAGCGGAGGAGTTGCCCGACGAAACTAGAAATCTAGACTAGAGGTCATAGATACCCGAGGGGTGTAAAATGTAAGCCAATTAATTTCATCATGCGCATGATGCAGCAGTTTGGAGAACCACAGCAAGTATGTCAGTTTGCGCATACCGCCCCATCGTCTCTTCTTGCACGTTTCAGACTTTTCCGTTCGGTACGCAATAGTCTATGGACGCATCAGTCAGGGTGACACAGGATGAAAATGGTGTTGTTCAACTTGATACCAATCACCATTGATCGGTTTCTGCGCCAAGGTGCATCTCGACCTTCGGTACTACAACATCCTGCAGTCTATACATACAAATTGACCGGTGGCTCCAAAAGGGTACACAGGCGGCTTTCAAGTCGCGATGAGGGTATGTAGAAGAAACAGGCAACCGCGGTGTTTGTTGCCTGTGCTGCCGTTCAGGTCTTACTTCGTGTGCGATGTTGCTGCTTCAGAGCTGCGCGCCAGGGCCCTCGATCTACGCGTCATAAAACACGATTGAATCCTTCGGTACAAGTATAACCATTGTAGAAGTGTCGTGCACAGCATTTGCTGCTGTTGTTTATCCGATAAACGGTACCACTGATTTTCAATCATTTTCAATGCAAAAGCATGGTAGTATTAAGTAGAAGTCAACGCGGCATCAACACCCTTCTTGGTGCTCTTGGTAATGAGAAGCCGCTACATACTACTTGAAGCCTTCAGATCAATATCGAACAACAAAAGCTCATTCACTCCAACCCGACAACCCCATCATAACAACGCGAAGATTCGGAACCCCTTGACCCAGCTTCCCCCCAAGCCCTTCCGCCACACCACCACCCGCACCAAGCCCTCCCCCGCCAAGCGGGTGCGTTCGCCACGCTTTCATTTCCTCCAAGACTCTGGCCTTTTCCTCCCGTACAACCGCTCTCGCTGCCCTAGCGCGGGCTTCCTCGGCCTCCCGCCGCTGCCCGGCCATGCACTGCCGTTTCATGCCGGGGTCGAGCCCGCCGCCGTCCTCAACGCCGGCGCCTACGGCCGCGCGCGCCGCAGCGCTCATACCGGGCACCCCAACCCTCGCCTGCTTGGTGATGGACAGCGTTCTGCCCGTGGGGTTCCAGATCAATGACCCCGTGAACTGGGCGAGGGCCATCGCGTCCCCCAGACGTACCACGCAAAGTTCCGCGTCGTCGTCGTCTCCTGCTTCTCGTGGAGGAGAAGGTTGCAAGGGCGCGGGAGCTCCGCTGCCTGTCGACTCGCGCTTTTCTTCTTGCTGTCCTCCAGCGTGCAAGCTTCTGTTGCCGTAGTGGTTGCTATCGCTGTGCTCGATCACCCAGGGGTGGGTGGCGAAGGAACGCTCGAAGTAGCAGGCGCCCGGTGCGAGCGATCTCCGCGGAACGCGCCTGCCGTCGTAGTTGATCCACGATACCTGGACAAAGAGAGCGGCGAACGCAAAACGGTACGTGAAAGCTATCAAATTGTGGCCGTTTTGGTGTTCGACGGAACACGAGTTCAAGACGGCGAACGGCTAGGTCCCACCCTCGACAACCAAGGTCGTAGCTGCTGGGTCCCGTTTCGTGTGGTCGTCGAGGTGCTACCTTGTGGTACATACCACATGCTGTCTTTGGATAAATGGGACCCCGTGGATGTCCCGGGGCGTGATCACGGAGTGTTCCTTCTCCCCTGCGAGTACCACCGAAACTTGAGGGTGTACGAGACGGCACAGATATCCTCGCCCTAAAGCTTCCAATAGAAGCTACATGTTACAGCTGCGAGCAGATCCTAAACGAGTAATTGTCTATCGTTGTTTTCGTTCCGCGAACACAGCAGAACCCAAAGCCTCGAACGGGGTTGCCAACTCCCTCTTAAGGTTGCCCCACCTTCATCACCGCAGACTCGTGGTTGTTGCAGAACCAGATGAACACGGCAAGGTCATCCACTGCCGATGACTCGAGTCCCAGGGGAAACGTTGGCAGCTTCTTTTCCGTCTCATCCGCAGGAGCTGCGGCTGGTGCAAGGGTGGCCTGGCTCCTTCCTGGATGTTTCCTCGCGGCTAACCCCTGGTCGCTGTCGTCGAAGATGCCTCCGCCTGTTTCAAACTCCCAGCCTTGTGCACTCCTCGCCCCTCCCTCCCCGAACCTAGGAGCACCACCTTCGCTCTCTCTGCTAGGCCAACCTAGACGATCTATTCCCGCTGCCAATCTTTCGCTTCCAGTGACTTCTTTCGGAGATCCAAATGCCGACGTCGCCAGATCGGCTTCACGCTGCCCTCCGCCTGCCTGCAGCTGGCCTCCTCCTGCCGCGTGCGACGCTTGGTTTCGAGGGGACGAGGCCAACTTCGGTCTGTCGCTCGACAGGGAGTACCCGAGGCTGTCTCTACCGCGAGCTAAACTTGTGGCCGTCTCCCACCCGGGAGCTCCTGCTGGTACGGTTTCCTCATATCCTTGCCACTTTGGCGATGTCGAGGCTTCGAATGGTCGCTGTCTTTCACTGCCTGGAGGGAACGCCCCCCTTGCTCTGCCCCCTCCCTCGTTTCTTCGCCTCGAGTATAGAGATGCCGGCGACCAGCCACGGGGCACCGTGCAGACGCCGTTAGCCTGGGGGGGTCCTAGAGCAGCTACCGCCTCCGGGGCATGTCGATCGAGAGCCCAGAGCACGAAAAGTCTATCGGGCTCTCGGCACGAGACGGCCTCTTCGAAGTCGGCCAGGGAACGAATTATCGCCGACTCGTGTGATTTGGCACCGGAACCGCCGTCCATTGCGCTCGATCTCAGGGCGGGAACATCGAGGTTGCCGTAAATGTCGACACCGTCTAGGGCAACATGACCAGCCCCAGCTCCAGAGGCTGTGTTGGGACGAAGTGCGCCGTTTGCACTGGCTTCGTCCCAACCTCCCACTGCTACAATCAAGCACCCGGCAGAGAGTCGACCGTCAAGCTCAGCCTGTCCCGCCTGGAGCACTCGCCGGACCCGCACAATGCCCCTTTCGCCCGGGTATTCCTCCAGCTCCACGCCCAGTGGCCCGGGTTCGAACTGCACCCGAAAAGCGTTACGCGAGGGTGCCGGTGTACCGTCCTCGCGCTGAAAGATCATATGGGTGATTTCCGTCTCAGTGGCAAGCTTTCTGTCGTCCCGATCGCTCTCGTCGCCGATGCCAGGTTCGATGGGTTCATCTTGTTTTTCGCCTTGAACGCCACCGTCGATGGTGCCGGACCACTCACTGGTGCGGGCCAGGAATACGGTCAGACCGAGATATCCTTCTCTAACGTCCAGATAATGCCTCGAGTCTTCTGGTATCAAGGAGGATGGCTTTGGCGGCCCTTGACTGCCATGTTGTAGTGCGCGGCAGAACATCTCTGAAGGAAGCAAGGTCTCGTGGTCAATACCTCTCGAGAACCCTTCCACAAAGACGTCGATGCATCTTTCTTCATCCTCAGACAAAACATCAGCAGCAGAAGCACAATCTCCTGCTGGTGCACTCGTGCGATCTCTCATGTGTTGAGTCCTGTGGCCGTTGAGTACCGTCACTGCAGTAGGAATGTGAGGACCTTCCGCTGATCGTGCCGCTCCCTGCAGTTCTAGGGCTCCCAGCCCTGAGTCTTGGCGTGGTACGATTCGAGAGATTCGCACTGGTTGCACCTTTCCTCTTTCCTCCTTCCCAATGGGGCTTGGGTCCAGCGCTGGATCATACAGACCCGATCGGTTGCGATCGACCGGCGCCGGGCATGGAAGTGAGGGTTCCACGTATGGCGAAATCGGCGGTAGGCTGCTGCCGCTTTCATCTCGCCTTGGTTTCCGACCCCCGATCGGCGGCAGGAGGTGACCAACTTCCGAGGGTGTTGTCGGCGTGTGGTGTGTCCGCTTTGTCTGTGAGTGGTGCAAATGGTGCCGAGGCAGTGGAGACAGTAGGATACAAGGATCGGGACGGAGCCTGGCAACGGCCGCGTACAGCAAACACAGCTGTTTGCGCTCCGCACAACATGATCCTGCATACTGGAACCCCATATGCTACACTGCTTGTGTAGGAACATCTGATGCAGAGATGTTGAGCCAGCACCACTATGCAACGCGGGCGAAAATCGGGGTTGGCAAAGACCACAGCATGTATGTAGACTACAGTTCACAGCAGCATCAGTCCACAGCAGTAGTCATCATGTCAAGTTCAATGTCACGCAATCGAAACAAACTGCCTCACCTCCCATTGCTGATACGGCAAGCTCGTCTCCCGAAAGTGGTTGCTAGTCACGTCAATACCAGCAACGACTGGGAGGAGGTTCTCCATGGCATCACCAAGCTTGGCAGAGGTACAACTCCATGGTCCGTATGCCGATGTGTTGTAGGAAGCTCCGCAGATTGTAACCGTATGGTTGAAGTTATCCCCGTTTCCCCGGAGTTCCCAATGTATTTGGATTCGATTCTGGTTTTCAGTGCTCCTTGCACAGCCAACCCCTTTGATCAGAAGCCGCTTGGCATAGCTTCGACAAGGGTTTAGGTGAGCGTGAATGCCGTCCCCATAGCGTTGCGTTGAGTGTGATGCCTTAGCATAGCATTGGACAGCCTCATGAGCTTGGATAGATAAGCGGTTGAGTTACAGTAGTAGTAGGTGTCTTGCTGATCAGGAGTTCACCTTTATTTATTTAGGCTGACTAAAAGATATACCACATTCGACTCTTCTACCTCTTGTGCACATCAGAGACCCGTGACGGCATCACGAGTATCGACAGCGTTGACCAAGCATTCCTTGGACCCGACGTACTAGGAGAGCCACCCTTGCTAGTAGAACCACACCTCACTTGTGATTGGTTCGCAGTGCTCCACATCAGAACACAAACAAACCCAGCTAATAAAAGCTTGTATCACAGATGATGTGAACCTAAATGCGGCGCAATTCAACATTTGAAATTGACAATTCACACCTAGTGTTGGATATCGATTCAATAAATGGATTCGATACGATATCGCCGGTGAAGTGTTCGATATCGATAACCGCTGGTAGCGAGCGAAGCGAGCCGTTGGTAGCGAGCGAGCCGTTAGTGGCGAGCGCAGCGAGCCGGCGAGCACAGTGAGCTGACGGGCGAAGGCGCGGAAGCTCGCTGTGCGAGCCCAAGCGCCCCCCCCCCCCGGCCCCCGGCTGGTGAGGGGGCCCCGCTGGAGGCGCCGCCGCAAAAAAAATGGAGCAATTTCGCTTACCCGAAAATAGGCCTCCGAAACCTGCCTTCAGTGTACAGCCAACTGCTTGAAAAAGCAGTATCTACGTGGGTAATAGCCTATCCATCATCTACACCGAAAAATGAGAATCGTATTCATCAGTTGACTATTCTACACTACTGCTTAAAGAAAGCTCAGCGGTATCGCACGCCGCAACAAAAAAAGCAAGCTTGCTTGTCGCAGAAAAGCCAAGCTCTCACAACAATGAGAGATAAATGGCACAAGAATGAGAGGTAAATGGATAGTAGCTGCAGCTACTTCGTTGAGTGCGCGCATTTCACTTCGTGCAGCTGCTGTGTGCTGTGTGCTGTGCAGCTGTGGGGGTTCCGTGTGGAATATCGGGGGTTCCGTGGATTATTTATCGATTTATCGTATCGATATCGAAATATGGAAATATGGAAATATCGAAAAGTTCAAATCTTTTCGATACTGCATCCGATATCGATACGATAAATCGATACGATATCCAACACTAATTCACACCTTCTTGGGATTTTTTTAATTTTTTCCTTTTCGTGCGTTTCATGCATTTTACGCCGCGTGTTTGCATGAAATCATACACGCCTCCCAGCGGTACGCACAGATAAATTGCGGGCACGCTACAACTCACGGATGCGTTGCTGTCGCCGCGAGTTTCGATAAACCTCGAGGTGGTAGCCTTCAGAGGTGTTGGCAGACGTTGTTGAAAGGCGTTTGGTGGTGCTGGGTTTGTGGTATCGGTCACGGAGTGGTGCATTGTAGCATGACGCGTCGAGATGCCTGGATTGCTATAACCCTACTGCTGTATCCATACTGCGGTATGTGCGGATCCAGCCTGGATGTTCCCTGTCCCGTGTGCACAAGTCTGGTGATATCGTCATGCTGACAACTCCTGACAGTAGTGTCGATGAGAACGGGGTCCGTAGTACAAAACGCCGTGTACGAAAGTTTGCTGCCCGTGTAACTATTTTTCTTTCTATGGTTTAGACTGTTCATGTTTCGTTTTGCGATGTGATCTTTTCTAAATAAGCGTTCCTTCCTCCCGTTTAGTGCTTCCGTTTCAGCTTCCTAGTGAGCGTTACTTTCCCATGTGTTTTTTTCTTCCTACGTCGTCGAGCGCCGGGTTCTCCTTTGCCTTGTCTTGCGCGAATTTCACCGTTGCCGACTTTGCCTTTGCTTTCCGGTCTTTCTTTTGGGAGTGCATATGTGACTTCGGCTTTTCCTTGTCCTATTTTATGTCTACGTTTGACCACCTGTATCTTCTCATGCTCGGTCTTCATTCCTTGCTTGCGTCAATCATGTTCCTGTTGATAATTGTCGATCGGCACTACGCACAGCGGCGCTATGCAATATGCCCGTACGCCCTCGCCGTCGATGCTTTTGTGCGATATTCTTTTTTCCTGCTCTCTCCCTTTTTCATTTCGGTTCCTGTGTAGCGTTGTCATTTTTGCGACACGTTTCGGCGTTTCTTGCGTCCAGGTCCGCCTCCTGCTCCTTCTCTATGAGAACCAGAGTTTGGTTACGTCTGCCTGTGACCTCACCCTCTTTTTTATCTTTTCCTGAGCACCCTGTACCGGGGCGATCCTCTGTCCTTGCCTTCTGTAGTTCGACCTTCGTTTCCTCATACTGTTGCCTTTCGCAAAATCCTTCATGTACTTTGCTTCTGTGCTGCCTTCTCCCGTAATGTGGTGTGCTGCCAAGCACAGCGCAACGCCAGCTGCACGCAGTACGCCCTGATGCAAGACTTTCACTTTTTGTCTTTGTTGTTCCGCGGTCTCACTTTTCCCGGCCTCTTCTTTTGCTTCGTATTTCCCTTGTCCCATGGTCTTGCGCCATGACAACGCCGACATTTGTTCCCTGCACGGGGCGATACATATTGATCGGCTTCTAGAGATATTTTCCTTTCCGCACCGGGAGTCTGGGGGGGGGGTGTACTCATAGTCGTGCATGCCGTAGTCGTCAGACCATTGACCTCGCATCCCTACAAAGCCGGGACGGAGCACGCCGGACCAGGCTCTCACATCACCAAGCGCGAAGCGCCGCGAGGGATTCGGCGAGTCGCATGAAGGGTGCGCTGCATCCTGCCAAGGGTGTTTGGCATCTTGTGCTTACTTCCTTGCGTACGGATGACCGCTGCGTATGACTTAGTTTATTTTCTGGTGCTTCCAGAGACAGTTGTAAGCACTGTGTAACTGCCTCGAGGGTGCTTGGCCAATTAAGCACAACGTGCGATTATCCCCTTTGCGGGGAGTGAGGGTTCTCGACCCCGCACAACATGATCTACTCGACCACC